CGGTGGTGGTGGAGCAACTTCCTCGTGGCGGAGACGCCGTCCACCCCAACCCCAACTTCCATCTAGCCCACCACAAAAAAATTAAAAATCACTTCTTTTTTCCCCAAACCTCCTCGAATAACACTGTCGATGTCCAGAACTTGGCATGTCAGGGGATCATTTCAACCGCCGGTGGTTGCCCGGAAAGTTACAGAGGCCGCCATTGATCTTTTCGAGCTTCAATTAATATCTTGGGATGATGTTTGAACAAAGTATAAAACCCTACAGAGAACAAGAAAAAGTGAAAAACCCTAATCAGAGGGTTAAGATTAAAAAAGGGTTCGTTAGATTCTCAGGATTTAGGAATATTCTTTTCTTGCGTAGTTTGAAGTTTGAACGAAAAGCGAGCTGTGATTCACATTTCTCACAGCAATCTGTGGCGACGGTGGAAGAAAGTTGTGGTTTGGTTGGGCCTTTTGGGTTTTTCAAGATATGAATGGGCCCGTACTGGAAATGGGAATTAAGGCCCATGTTTAGTTGGAGGGCCAAGTGTATCCCTCTAATATTGGCTATTTGAATTTGTTTATAAAACTTTTTTCTTCAATAAATGAATATAACTTATTAATTGATAGAGGTTTCGTGTGTATGAGTGATGTCACATTGTAGATCTATTTAAATCAATAAAAATCATTTATATTGATAATTATTTTCTAACTTAGCACGAGGAAATTAGAACATCTTTAATTAATGGTGAAATCATGAAATGTAGTTGGTTAATAGATGAGCATTAAAACTTATACCATCTTCAGTGTTCAAAACGTTATAGTAAACTATATTCCATGCCAACATATTTAATAATGTAATCACTTTTCATTCTTCAATTCATAATATGGTCATAACTGTAATGATTGCTGATGTCAAAAATCGGACGATCAACACGTCAAATATGAATTGAATCTCTTGAATGAAAACTAAAAATTAGATGACAAAAATGGGGGTCTTCTCTTATTTTCTTTGGGAGGGTTGTTCTCTCTTTTGTTGTTGTTGGGGAGGAGAAAAAATGAATCCCCCTTTCTTTGTTCCCTAAAGTTATATATACATGACCCTTTTCACAAGTGGGTGAGTAAAATAAATAAAAAATAGCACATTACTGTTATATGGCTTTTGACGACTTCGATTGATGTCTATATCGTCGGCAGCTACTTTAGGATATCTGTGCCAGTCGATTACATCGGGTTCTACTCGGCTTAGTAGCGGTCGAAC